CCCGAGAGGTTAAGGGGGAAGACTTAAGATCTTCTGCACACAAGTGCGCATGGGTTCGAACCCCATAGCCAGCAAAACACCCACATTATCCATTTTTTTCCTTTTAATGAGTATTTCTACTTCATACACAACCTTATGATCACAATACTCAAATGCAACGAAAAATAATAGCACAAATCTCCACCGTTGATCATTTTTTATAATAACATTATCATAAAAAAGGATAGACTATTGTAACAATTTTTTACTAACTCTAACTTTGATTTTTTTAAGTCTATTAGATTGTAATGGAAAAAAATAATTCATATTGTTCCAATAATTATAGGATCACGCTATTTTATTAAAATAATTTTCAATTTTGAGATGATGTTAGTAAGATAAAATGTTGGGCCGGATTTTTTCTTTCCCACATTGGGTTTTAAAGCCCGGCCCATATTCATCTAAACTTGTATACAAATCAGACCTCAGCCTAGACACCCAAATTCTAACACATTTCCAAGCCCGGTCCATATTCATCAAAACTTGCCCGCGGCACAAGAAACTCTCTGCCTTTATTATTTATCAACCATTCTCTCCGTTCTGCTTTTCAGTCTCTATATCTGCTCTACATACAGTCTCAACTGAAGCGTCATTCTCATCTTCGTTAAAGGTACGATTACAATTTGTTGTCCGATTCAATTAATTTTGCATTTCATTGGAGATCTGTGAAGCTGGCCGCGATTTATATGTTAGGGTTTATGAGTGAAGCATTGTTGGTCGGATTATTTTCCGAGTTCAATTCGCTAACTTGAATTATGGATCCTTTTGCTGCTATTGAACCTAGAAACTCAGATAGGACAGCTAGTCAAAGTAGGTTTATTGTTGGAGTATGATATTTTCTATTTTAGTTAATGTTTGATTCGTCGATTTGATTGTTTTAGGATTTGTGTTTTACTCAGTTTCTTGGTCTATAGGGTTGTTACTTTGATCATTTTAATATGTTTTTATCATTATAAAAATGTTTTAAGTTTATTTCTGTGGGAATTAGGAAAAGTTATAGCTTCTTCACTAACTGATCCGAGTTAATATCCTGAAGCAAGCATAGAATAACTATAGTATATAATGTGTGGATTTCATTTAATTTGTATTGGTTTTGAGAGATTAATTTCCGTTTGTTGAAGGTTTATAAGCATGAAGCTTGACACTAGTGGTCTCGAATCAACTGCTCCGCATTTTGGGACAAGCTGTGAGCTGTTTTCTGGCTTTTCTGCTGCTCCATCTTTTGATCTTCCTGTTACTACTGATGTGAGTTCTAATGCATTGGTTTACAAGATGATGATGCTCGAGCAAAAATTTGGTTTTAAGTGAATATATTTACTGGTTTGTTTAATGGTTTTCTTCTCAGTTTGATGGGTTTCAAAAGGAATCCATACAAATGGTGAAGCCTGCAAAGGGGACAACTACACTTGCTTTTATTTTTAAGGAGGGTGTCATGGTTGCTGCTGATTCTCGAGCTAGCATGGGGGGCTATATCTGTACGGCTCTTTTTTCCTTTATTATTATTATTTTTTTTTTTTTATATTTTTTTGCTTTTGCTTACAATTAGTGAATTTAGTGTTCATAATTTTGGATTGATTTCTACAATTGTGGCAAACATGTGTTGAAGGTTTTCTTCTGCATTAGTTTAAGTGGATTGAGAAGACATTCATGTCCTATATTTACTGGCAATTTTAATGTTCCAATAATATTAACAAGACTGTATTTTCGCTCTGTATTTATATATTAATTAGCTAAGCACATTGCTATTTCCTTTCTGATTTTCAGCATCACAGTCAGTGAAAAAAATTATTGAAATCAACCCTTACATGCTGGGAACAATGGCTGGAGGAGCTGCTGACTGCCAGTTTTGGCACAGAAATCTGGGCATAAAGGTAACGTATTTATAAGATGTGAAGTTTATGCTTTCTGAATCTGCTGGATACAATGATTAGTTGATAGCCCAATGCATTTTTACTTGTTACTCAATCAGCCATGAAAAGTGGTTTGAGCAGTTGAGCATTTCTCGGCTTTTTTTCGGTGTTTAGCTGCTAATACGTGTATGACAACTATGAATCTTGTAAGATCCAATTTCCTGTGTTCTCCACATATGAATTGCTAATTGTCAAGTGTTATGCCATATTTAGTGCCGGCTGCATGAATTAGCAAACAAGCGCAGAATCTCAGTTACAGGTGCATCAAAGCTGCTGGCTAACATTCTCTACTCTTATCGTGGAATGGGACTGTCTGTTGGGACTATGATCGCCGGATGGGATGAAACTGTAAGTGATTTAATGTTTCTGTTTCTTTTTTTCTTTTCCCCATTTCTTACTAAAACTCTTTTTAAGCTGTCTTCTGTGGTTGTAGGGTCCTGGACTGTATTATGTAGATAGTGAAGGAGGTAGGCTGAAAGGAACACGGTTCTCTGTTGGATCTGGTTCACCATATGCTTATGGTGTATTAGATAGCGGGTAAGTCTCTATTCCCCATGTTTTCACTTTTTTTGTTCCTTTGATTTGTAGGCAATAGTTAGAGAGTATAGATTAAGTATAGTTTGGAATTTCTTTATGTTCTGGGGAGCAAAAATGTGTACATCTTATATTGTTTTGTTGATTGGTAAGCAACATCATATTGCTTCCATGTAACATTAAAAACATGTGTGAAGTAATAAAAAGTGTAGAAGATAAAGAATTGTAAATATGAAAAAGACATCCACTATAGTGCTTTGTATTTGTTTGTGGAGTATTTATTTCCTTATAAGACGCCCTACCCTTTTCTGGGCAACTACTACAGGAAAAGTTTTAAAGTTTGTTCTCATGGACGAGGGGAATGCTTCTTTTACAAGCCTTTCTGTCCATGCTACTCAAAAATGCCTTATTGTTGTGTAGGAAGAGTAGATTGTGGGCCTGCTATAATTCCATATAAATTCATGCTGTAGCTAAATAGTTTATTCATTTTTGGTTAAGATGGTGGAATTTGGTAATTATAGGATGTGTTTTATCTGGAATAAGGTCGTATTGACCAGGAGTGTCGTTATATGATGCAAATTTATCTAAGGAATTGCTGCCTTATTTATGTGTAAATGCTTCATGTTGGCATAGCTGAAGTTTCCCCTGCATTTCATGATTTCTATGTTTTTACAAAATTATAATTGGCTAATTTCATTATATTGTTTGATGATAATACTTTTGTGAGATATGTATTTTATAATGTATAGTTATCTTATTTCCTACAACACTTGTATTAGGTACAAATATGATTTGTCAGTTGAGGAAGCCGCAGAGCTGGCCAGAAGAGCTATTTATCATGCAACTTTCAGGGATGGGGCTAGTGGTGGTGTTGCTAGCGGTACTCTCTCTCTCTTTCTCTCACACACATACGATCTCTCTCTACGTTATTTTTTTTATGTGTCTGTTTTGATTGAAAGCTTTTCCTTAAATCAGTTTATCACGTTGGACCGAATGGATGGAAGAAGCTGTCTGGTGATGATGTTGGGGAGCTTTATTACCAGTACAATCCTGTCAGCACAAGCACAGTGGAGCAAGAAATGGCCGAGTCTAGCTCAACTTAGGGGTTGTTTCTTCTTTTTATCTTAAGTTTGAGCGTGAATGACATTTTTCTGTTTTTCGATAATTGACTTAACTGCTTCGAAGATGTTGTTATCTGAATAGAAAAAGTAGTAATCTTAAACTATTTCATGATATGATGGTAGGTCCCTCAGCTTATTATGATTTCGATTTTGGATTTAATTACCACGTTTACTAGTGTTTTGGAGGCAAGTAGCCGTTAATTTTTGAATGATTAATCATAATTACATGTCCCCGCCCCGGCACCAAATTTGACTTGTCCAAAAGCTAACAGTGAGAATGCCTTTGAAATGTCGAAGGGAAAATTAATAGTTTAGTTGAATATTCCTTGAAGCTTCTGTCATTCATAAAAGAGAAAAGTAAATTTTAGATAGGAGATGAATAAAAAAAAAGCACTTTCAGGGAAAGTGATTTGGATGACACGGGTCGGTAATTGTAAGGGAAGGCAGAGCAAGTAGGGTCAGGGAAATGGTGCTGTTACGGGGTGGGCTGGGCAAATGCCAATGGCAATTGGCAAAGCAATAATGTGGAGTCACTGATGGCATGTGATATTGAAAGGGTTGGTTGAGTCCACGTTTTTTGCATGAAAACTACTTGAGAGTTGAGACTTGAGAACTACAGGCTAGGGGTCGAGCCTTCATGCCAGCCCGTGATTTGACTCAAAACACCCCACACGGCCCTTAACCGTAGCCAGCTTGCTTTGCTTCTGGCCTAACCATGAACTATGATCTATAGTATACTCCCTAATTTTGTTTTATAGTCTTGTAATGTTGGCTGTTTGATTTATATTTTTAAATTTTTACCTTTGAAGTTGAGATTTGGGGGGGAAATATAGTAATATACAAAGAGTATAAATTTGTCTATTTATAAAATTAATAGCTTAATGAATGTCAGCTGGTTTGCCCGAGAGGTTAAGGGGGAAGACTTAAGATCTTCTGCACACAAGTGCGCATGGGTTCGAACCCCATAGCCAGCAAAACACCCACATTATCCATTTTTTTCCTTTTAATGAGTATTTCTACTTCATACACAACCTTATGATCACAATACTCAAATGCAACGAAAAATAATAGCACAAATCTCCACCGTTGATCATTTTTTATAATAACATTATCATAAAAAAGGATAGACTATTGTAACAATTTTTTACTAACTCTAACTTTGATTTTTTTAAGTCTATTAGATTGTAATGGAAAAAAATAATTCATATTGTTCCAATAATTATAGGATCACGCTATTTTATTAAAATAATTTTCAATTTTGAGATGATGTTAGTAAGATAAAATGTTGGGCCGGATTTTTTCTTTCCCACATTGGGTTTTAAAGCCCGGCCCATATTCATCTAAACTTGTATACAAATCAGACCTCAGCCTAGACACCCAAATTCTAACACATTTCCAAGCCCGGTCCATATTCATCAAAACTTGCCCGCGGCACAAGAAACTCTCTGCCTTTATTATTTATCAACCATTCTCTCCGTTCTGCTTTTCAGTCTCTATATCTGCTCTACATACAGTCTCAACTGAAGCGTCATTCTCATCTTCGTTAAAGGTACGATTACAATTTGTTGTCCGATTCAATTAATTTTGCATTTCATTGGAGATCTGTGAAGCTGGCCGCGATTTATATGTTAGGGTTTATGAGTGAAGCATTGTTGGTCGGATTATTTTCCGAGTTCAATTCGCTAACTTGAATTATGGATCCTTTTGCTGCTATTGAACCTAGAAACTCAGATAGGACAGCTAGTCAAAGTAGGTTTATTGTTGGAGTATGATATTTTCTATTTTAGTTAATGTTTGATTCGTCGATTTGATTGTTTTAGGATTTGTGTTTTACTCAGTTTCTTGGTCTATAGGGTTGTTACTTTGATCATTTTAATATGTTTTTATCATTATAAAAATGTTTTAAGTTTATTTCTGTGGGAATTAGGAAAAGTTATAGCTTCTTCACTAACTGATCCGAGTTAATATCCTGAAGCAAGCATAGAATAACTATAGTATATAATGTGTGGATTTCATTTAATTTGTATTGGTTTTGAGAGATTAATTTCCGTTTGTTGAAGGTTTATAAGCATGAAGCTTGACACTAGTGGTCTCGAATCAACTGCTCCGCATTTTGGGACAAGCTGTGAGCTGTTTTCTGGCTTTTCTGCTGCTCCATCTTTTGATCTTCCTGTTACTACTGATGTGAGTTCTAATGCATTGGTTTACAAGATGATGATGCTCGAGCAAAAATTTGGTTTTAAGTGAATATATTTACTGGTTTGTTTAATGGTTTTCTTCTCAGTTTGATGGGTTTCAAAAGGAATCCATACAAATGGTGAAGCCTGCAAAGGGGACAACTACACTTGCTTTTATTTTTAAGGAGGGTGTCATGGTTGCTGCTGATTCTCGAGCTAGCATGGGGGGCTATATCTGTACGGCTCTTTTTTCCTTTATTATTATTATTTTTTTTTTTTTATATTTTTTTGCTTTTGCTTACAATTAGTGAATTTAGTGTTCATAATTTTGGATTGATTTCTACAATTGTGGCAAACATGTGTTGAAGGTTTTCTTCTGCATTAGTTTAAGTGGATTGAGAAGACATTCATGTCCTATATTTACTGGCAATTTTAATGTTCCAATAATATTAACAAGACTGTATTTTCGCTCTGTATTTATATATTAATTAGCTAAGCACATTGCTATTTCCTTTCTGATTTTCAGCATCACAGTCAGTGAAAAAAATTATTGAAATCAACCCTTACATGCTGGGAACAATGGCTGGAGGAGCTGCTGACTGCCAGTTTTGGCACAGAAATCTGGGCATAAAGGTAACTTATTTATAAGATGTGAAGTTTATGCTTTCTGAATCTGCTGGATACAATGATTAGTTGATAGCCCAATGCATTTTTACTTGTTACTCAATCAGCCATGAAAAGTGGTTTGAGCAGTTGAGCATTTCTCGGCTTTTTTTCGGTGTTTAGCTGCTAATACGTGTATGACAACTATGAATCTTGTAAGATCCAATTTCCTGTGTTCTCCACATATGAATTGCTAATTGTCAAGTGTTATGCCATATTTAGTGCCGGCTGCATGAATTAGCAAACAAGCGCAGAATCTCAGTTACAGGTGCATCAAAGCTGCTGGCTAACATTCTCTACTCTTATCGTGGAATGGGACTGTCTGTTGGGACTATGATCGCCGGATGGGATGAAACTGTAAGTGATTTAATGTTTCTGTTTCTTTTTTTCTTTTCCCCATTTCTTACTAAAACTCTTTTTAAGCTGTCTTCTGTGGTTGTAGGGTCCTGGACTGTATTATGTAGATAGTGAAGGAGGTAGGCTGAAAGGAACACGGTTCTCTGTTGGATCTGGTTCACCATATGCTTATGGTGTATTAGATAGCGGGTAAGTCTCTATTCCCCATGTTTTCACTTTTTTTGTTCCTTTGATTTGTAGGCAATAGTTAGAGAGTATAGATTAAGTATAGTTTGGAATTTCTTTATGTTCTGGGGAGCAAAAATGTGTACATCTTATATTGTTTTGTTGATTGGTAAGCAACATCATATTGCTTCCATGTAACATTAAAAACATGTGTGAAGTAATAAAAAGTGTAGAAGATAAAGAATTGTAAATATGAAAAAGACATCCACTATAGTGCTTTGTATTTGTTTGTGGAGTATTTATTTCCTTATAAGACGCCCTACCCTTTTCTGGGCAACTACTACAGGAAAAGTTTTAAAGTTTGTTCTCATGGACGAGGGGAATGCTTCTTTTACAAGCCTTTCTGTCCATGCTACTCAAAAATGCCTTATTGTTGTGTAGGAAGAGTAGATTGTGGGCCTGCTATAATTCCATATAAATTCATGCTGTAGCTAAATAGTTTATTCATTTTTGGTTAAGATGGTGGAATTTGGTAATTATAGGATGTGTTTTATCTGGAATAAGGTCGTATTGACCAGGAGTGTCGTTATATGATGCAAATTTATCTAAGGAATTGCTGCCTTATTTATGTGTAAATGCTTCATGTTGGCATAGCTGAAGTTTCCCCTGCATTTCATGATTTCTATGTTTTTACAAAATTATAATTGGCTAATTTCATTATATTGTTTGATGATAATACTTTTGTGAGATATGTATTTTATAATGTATAGTTATCTTATTTCCTACAACACTTGTATTAGGTACAAATATGATTTGTCAGTTGAGGAAGCCGCAGAGCTGGCCAGAAGAGCTATTTATCATGCAACTTTCAGGGATGGGGCTAGTGGTGGTGTTGCTAGCGGTACTCTCTCTCTCTTTCTCTCACACACATACGATCTCTCTCTACGTTATTTTTTTTATGTGTCTGTTTTGATTGAAAGCTTTTCCTTAAATCAGTTTATCACGTTGGACCGAATGGATGGAAGAAGCTGTCTGGTGATGATGTTGGGGAGCTTTATTACCAGTACAATCCTGTCAGCACAAGCACAGTGGAGCAAGAAATGGCCGAGTCTAGCTCAACTTAGGGGTTGTTTCTTCTTTTTATCTTAAGTTTGAGCGTGAATGACATTTTTCTGTTTTTCGATAATTGACTTAACTGCTTCGAAGATGTTGTTATCTGAATAGAAAAAGTAGTAATCTTAAACTATTTCATGATATTTCCAGTGTTTCATAGATGATATATATGCTTGTGAACTAGAGATTTCTCTAGGTTGATCTTCATCCTCTAAAGCATTCATGGATGGACCTGTTTTAAGGTGATGCTGTATTATGGCAGGCTACTGGTTTTGAGAATCTTTTAATGCGGTGACCGAAAACTTTTTCCGGTTGCATTATGAATATATAACTTAGCAGATGTGAAAATGGGTAGTGTGGAGAAGGGGTCTCGTGTTATTGAAACTGAATAGTGGTAAATGGTAATGTCTCACCAAATAAGGACTGGGCAGCTACTTTAGGTACCCATAACTTCACCGTAGGGGAAGGTCACTGTTGACGTAATCTTAATCTAACAAAGTAACAAACTACTTGTATACCTTGAAAGAGAGCCGTCTTCTATAATTGACAGCAGTTTCCTCATCAATATATTTATGATTGATTCTAGAAATTAACAAAAAGAACAAAATATTGGGGAGTGGTCTTCAGGAGGAAGAAACCATTATTCAGTAAATTAGATTCATTTTTTTCAAAAATCGAGTCTGGATTTGTGGTGAACTGGGTCCACGTTTCTCAATTATCAAGTTGAATAAGTAGCCGATTATGGCTAAATTACAATTCACATGATCACATCATATACCCTTTTTTTCTTAGTTACAAAGCAAACTCTTCTCATTCTTTTGTCTTTTCTCTCTTAGAGAAAAACATTATAAATTTAAGTTTTTATGGATGACCTTTTTTATCTTCTTTTTTTTTTTTTTTTTTAAATAATGGATTAGCTTGTGCATATTTTAGTTAATTTATGAGGTTCATTCAATATCTTATATCCCCAATGGGTTAGATAAGTCGTAAATCCGGAGTCCATTAAACATTTTATAAACTCAATGTGTCACAAATGTGATAGGTGATTATTTGTTGAGACTTAAATACAAGACTTCTAAGTAACTCACCAAATAACTAAAGTCTTACCATCTAACATTTATCCAAATTTTTATGCGATCTATTGTTCCTTGTTCTAATTGAAAGCTTGACCATGTTTCATAAAATCACCATGTTACTCTTCCACTTTACAAATAAATAAATGAATAATTAGACGTGTATATTCCTAAATTTCTAAACAAGACAAAAGACATAAGTAATCAAACAATAGTACAGACTGGAATAATAAACATTAATTATAGTCTCTTTCTCTTAAACACACCCCCCTTTCTGGTTGCTTCTACGCATATTTTCATGATTGAGAGTGAGATAAAGTCATCATTAACGTTTCCACTAAAACAAATATATAATACAAGTTAGTTGGATTTCGGAATCAGGAAGAAGAGCTCACTGTCTCCCTCCCTCGTTGTAAAATAGCAAACTACTCAATCAATTTGTATAGTTTGACAGAGAGCTCCAGGCGAACTACTGTATCAACTACAATCCATTGCAGCAAACACAAGCAAAGCAAAGCATTGGACAACTGTATGTTGTACGAAATAATTGGTTGGAGTTGGACTGGATGGTTTAGGATGATTTTTGACTTGTAAATAGTTGGACCAAAGATTGAAAATGACATGTCAGTCCCCATCAATATAACGTTTGGTATGAGCATTTAAATAAAAGAGTAAGCCAGCAAACGACTTTTTCCCACCTAAGGTTTGTCTTAATGACACTTTCCCACCCAAAAAGTTTCTAAATACAATTTTCATATCCAAAGTTAAATATTCTGTTACTACTTAAAACCAAAACCGATTCCGTTAGCAAAAATTCTCTCCATCACCACCGTTTGAACTTCCGGTCTCCTCTCTACAAAACCTCTCTTACTCCGGTATCTGATTTCTTATCGATTGTCGGTCATTGTAAAACTAAGATTTCATGTTCTTAGATGATTTTCGACTAATTTCGATAGTAAATATTGAATCAGTTACCACCATTTGATCCACCGACTTTCACTCTACAAAAACCTGGCTCCTGGTAACTCGCTGAATATCGGTTGAGAAAGTGAAATGTATTTTGATGTTAACACTTAACAGTATATAAATGTTGGGTGGGAAAGTGATATTTTTAAACTTTTTGGGTGGAAAGTGTTAGTAAGGCAAACCTTGGGTGGGAAAATTGTTTACTCTTAAGTCTTGAGTAAAATTGTCACATACTCGACAAATGGGTAGTTAAATTTCTGTATTTAAGCTTTGAGATCAGGTAATACAAATACGCGCAGTAGTAATCTCTTCTGTGAGTAGTTGCTCAATGAATGATGTATGTATATTTCAGGCCGTAGGTCCCAAGGTAAAACCCATTTGATTGGTTGGTGATGAAGTTTCTGCCATATCAAATTTGACAGTATATGATCATATGAAATGAAAAAACAATCAAACCCATGAGTAGGGCCTTCTCTCTGTTCTGCATTTTTTGATATAAGGAGTTCCAATTTACACAACCAGTTCCCTTAATTTATTAATTTATATGGGGCTCATCCTTCACGCAAATATGTAATAGTTCTTTTAGCAAATCCCTCACATGACTGTTAATCCGACTCCTAAAACTTGAATCTGAAGAAAGAAAGAATCCCTGTTGAAAACAATAAAGAATACTTATTTTAACCTAATCAAATCAAAGATTAGTTGAAGAAAAAGGTAAAGGTGTTCCTTAAAAGACATCTTTACATAATAAAAACACCCTAGATTCCTAACAACAATGAAAGAAACTCATGGTGCTCTCTGTTCGCCCACCAAGCTGAAAGAGAAAGACAGAAGAAACAAACAACACAAAGCACATCAACATCACGCATGAAGCCAAGATAAAAGGCTTGAGTCGAGTTGAGTTGAGTTGAGTCCAGTCCTTTGCTTTTCTTCTACTCTCCCTTTCGTTAGGAAGAAAGTCATCTCTCTCTTTCTTTTGGCGGGAGTGGGCCTCCCTCTCCAATCAAAATCGTCTCTCTTAAGTCTCTTTCTAATAAATACCTCTCCACATCTAACTAACTTCCTTCCTATTCCTCTTCTTCTCACTTCTTTTATTCACTGTATATACTCCCTCCATTCTTCTCTCATTTTCATTTCATTTCAATCTTTTTTCTTCTTAACAGAACAGAACTCAAATGAAAAACCATTTCTGGGTTCTGTTGTTTCTTTGTTTTCTCTCCTTTCAATTATCTTTTTCTCTCTCGCCTGATGGAGTTACTCTGCTTTCTCTCAAATCAGCCATTGATCAATCATCAGCCGGCTCTGTTTTCTCCGACTGGAACGAGAACGACCCCACACCCTGTCACTGGTCTGGAATTTCCTGCACGAACATTTCCGGCTTCCCTGATCCACGTGTCGTCGGCATCGCAATTTCCGGGAAAAATCTACGTGGCTATATTCCCTCCGAGCTTGGTTCTTTAGCCTATCTCCGTAGATTCAACCTTCACAACAACAACTTGTACGGATCAATCCCTGTTCAGTTGTTCAACGCCACCGCACTTCACAGTCTCTTTCTCTACGGTAATAATCTCTCCGGTTCTCTCCCGCCTTCGATCTGTGACCTCCCCAGACTCCAAAACCTCGATCTCTCTAACAATTCTTTAACCGGTTCTCTTCCTGATGATTTAAAGAATTGTAAGCAATTACAAAGGCTTATACTTGCTAAAAACAAATTGTCTGGGAAGCTCCCAGCAGGTATTTGGCCAGTGTTAGAAAATTTAGTACAGCTTGATCTTTCTGCAAATGATTTTGAAGGCCCCATTCCCAACGATCTTGGCGAGTTACAGTCTTTATCAGGTACTCTTAATATATCTTTCAACCATTTATCCGGTAGAATCCCGAAATCGCTTGGGAATTTACCGGTTACCGTCAGTTTTGATCTGAGAAACAATAATTTAAGCGGCGAAATACCTCAAACGGGGTCGTTTGCTAACCAAGGACCAACTGCTTTTCTTAACAATCCTCGATTATGCGGGTTTCCTCTTCAAAAGTCTTGCAAAGGCTCTTCAGATAGCCAACAGGAAACCCAAAGTTCAGTGCCGGAATCCGATAAAAACAAAAGAAAAGGCCTGAGTCCCGGTTTGATTATATTAATATCAGTGGCTGATGCAGCTGCGGTTGCAATTATTGGTTTAGTGATCGTTTACATTTACTGGAGAAAGAAAGATTCAAATGGTGGATGTAGCTGCACTGGAAAAGGCAAATTCGGAGGAAATGAAAAGGGAAAGCTCTGTTCTTGTCTTTGCATTAATGGTTTTAGAAATGAAGATTCAGAAATTGAGGATCAAGAAAAATCAGAGAGGGCGAAATGTGAAGGAGAACTGGTGGCAATTGATAAAGGGTTTTCGTTTGAGCTTGATGAGTTGCTGAGAGCTTCGGCTTATGTACTGGGAAAGAGTGGGTTGGGGATTGTGTATAAGGTAGTTCTCGGAAATGGCGTGCCAGTGGCTGTGAGGAGACTTGGTGAAGGTGGAGAACAGAGATATAAAGAGTTCGTCACTGAAGTTCAGGCCATTGCTAAAGTCAAACATCCTAATATTGTTAAGTTGAGGGCTTATTATTGGGCACCAGATGAGAAGCTTCTTATCAGTGATTTCATTTCCAATGGAAACTTGGCTACTGCTCTTCGAGGTCAGTTCCTAATTTTGTTCATTTATTTATCTTGCTTTTGTCAGTTGTGTCTTTCCTGAAATGAAATTTCAATCTGTAGTTCTGTTACTTCTGTACAACTGAGGTTATGTTCTGGGTAAAGGGTGGGTGTGTGGACTTTTCTTTCTTGTATCCTGATTGGTCCACGTGGTGGGCAAATGATAATATTTGACAATACTGGTCTACACTAGTCATCATTTAAGGCATGAACCCATATGCCCCATTCAACTTCCCTTATTATTAAACCCTCGGAATGCCCACTCTTTAGGTAACTAGGCGTAGCAGCATCCATCAGTAATCTCATTTTTCACCATAAGATAGTAAAAGCATAAGGGAAGAAAAAGGATTAAAACTGGAAAAGACTTATATTGGTTGGCTAGTAATATTAAGGCCATGATATTGACTATTGATAGAGACATTCACATGTATAATTGCAAAGGACTTGCTGGTTTTCAATCTGGGTTAGGTTGGCTAGCTTTGTTTTTTAACTTTGTGAGTGAGAGATGTTCAGAGATGGTAGGTCCTTCGTTGGCTGTGTTGTACCTAGACAAGTGTTAAGTTTATGGAGTGGTAGTTTTGGTGGGGTCTTCAGCATTTTGAAGTTATCAATCACTGCTGCTATGGTGATAAGGTCAATGATCATTTTCTGGTTAACGCTTTCATTGCTTCAGCCCCACTGGGCATCGCAATAACTATCTATTATCTTTTATTTCTTATCTTTTTTGCATCGAATATATTGTAAAGCTTGCACGTCTTGGTTTTGAAGGTTCCATTTAAAGTGGCTTTTTCCCAGGTTCGTTGTGTTTTTTGTTCCCTTTTAAACTTTAATAAAAGAACAACTTTTAGAAACAAAAGTCAAGACTTTGTATTCCTTTTTCTGCAGTATATAGTTTTGCAAACAACTCTATGTTTTCTTTTCCTTTGAAGCACTCACTTTTTGAGCCTGGAATTACAAGTTTCTTTACAGTTAACAAGAATTTTAACTTTATAATAGATGGGAATTTGTTAAACCAAATACTGATTTTACAGGGAAAAATGGGCAGCCATCCTCAAGCGGTCTCTCATGGTCAACAAGGCTTAGAATTGTAAAGGGAACAGCTCGGGGCTTGGCCTATCTTCACGAATGCAGTCCAAGAAAATTTGTCCACGGAGACATCAAACCATCAAACATCCTTATTGACAATGACTTCCAACCTTACATTTCTGATTTTGGACTCAACAGACTCATAAACATTACAGGCAATAGCCCTTCTTCCTCTGGTGGGTTTATGGGGGGAGCCCTCCCTTACATGAAATCAGTCCAAACAGAACGAGCCAACAATTACAAAGCTCCAGAGGCTCGAGTCCCCGCAAACCGACCTACTCAGAAATGGGACGTCTATTCGTTTGGTGTTGTTCTACTGGAATTACTTACAGGAAAGTCTCCTGAACTTTCACCAACCACATCAACTTCCATCGAAGTTCCGGACCTGGTGAGGTGGGTACGAAAAGGCTTTGAAGAAGAGAACCCATTATCGGAAATGGTTGATCCGATATTGCTACAAGAAGTGCATGCCAAAAAGGAAGTGTTAGCAGTTTTTCATGTGGCACTTGCATGCACAGAGGCAGACCCTGAGGTCCGGCCAAGGATGAAAAATGTGTCAGAAAATCTTGAGAGGATTGGCTCGTAAAAGAGATTTTGGTTTAATTTCCTGCAACAACAAGGTCTCAAGTAAGAAGGCGAAGCTGAAATTTCTTGATTTTGCAAGGGGCGATTCATTTTTCCAACCATGGATTTGGCGAAGTTGTTGAGAAAATAAAGTTGAATCCCAACATCTTCCCAGCCATATGCCCAAAATTTTTTCCGGAAAATTTCGGCATTTTTTTTTCATAGCGTCATTGGAATATACATGTTATTTTTATATTGTGGCAAAAGTTTGTAGGTAGGTAATTTGTAATTTGTAATTTAAATTTCATTCTATTTTCCTCTAATTAGGATATGCTTGTAATAAAAAAAAAAAATGTTACTTTTGTGCTCTTCCTATAATTTGTTAGTTATATACTATTTAATATTTCTGATTTGACTACGATCCACCTTAACAAGTCAAATTTCAACTTTGATATTATTGTTTATTTTAGTGACACGTCAAATCAATCGCTAGAGGTATATCGATGCAATAAATTTGTAATATTAACCATCCTTAATGATAGGAACCACTCACAAATTGATACACGAATTAGTTAGATAATGGGCTTTTGATAGGAATTTGGTTAGGTAGTGGTCTTTTATGAACTTGAATATATCTCTTCTTGGAAAACCGGTTTGTCAAGAGAGGGTATCCAAACCCTTTATAACTCACATGTCTATCCTCTTCCTTTCTAATGTGAGATCCTAACATACTATCACGTTTCTGCATCCGATGTCCACGTTGATCTCTTTACTCCCGTTGACCTTTTTATCCCGTAGGTGATTACATGAATCCTCTTTCCCTTGGCCCTCCATGCCCTTTTTCGGAGTAGCAGCTTGGGCCCAAGGTCAGTCTGCCATGTAAGTGAAGTCCATGTGGGTGCATGATTATGCTCTGATACCAATTGATAGGAATCTAATACCAATTGATAGGAATCCACTCACAAATTGATATGAATTGGTTGGATAGTGGACCTGTAATAGGAATTGGGGTGGGTAGTGGTCATTTGTAGGTTTGGGTAGAACTCTTCTTGAAAAACTGGCTTGCCAAGGGAGGGTGCCTAAGTCCTTTATAACTCACATGCCCACCCTTTTCATTTCTAGTGAGATCCTAACACAGTTGAGTGGTCGAATAAGGACTTTTGGGTATATTATTTAAGAGGTCATGAATTTGATTTTCTTGAAAAATTAGTTGAAGTGTATACAAGTTGACCCTCTTTTGTAATGCCAAATTTTATTAAAATTGAATCTATTTTCGTGTTGAGATATAGTACAAGTTCAAAAGCCCAAAGGGTTAATTTTGTTGAATTCCCTTAAAATGTTCCTTAATACCAAACATTCCTGATACTTTGAAAATTATCTAAGTCTCCTATATGTATAGTTAACCTATATCTATGTAGACGTTAAAAATCTATAGTTACGGAACAAACTGATCTTGTGAGGTTAAGGCCATTGATGATTTGCAACCTGCACATACAAAGAAACAAGCGTGAAGCTCACGAGGAACACCGATGTGGTGTCTGGCGTAAATACTTTGATGCTCAAGTCAACGAGGCTAAAAGAGACTATATAGTGAGGGCTAAGGGGAGGAAAGATCACTAGAGGCGAATGTGTTAGTTCTTAGGAGCAAGAATTTTAGGAGCTAGTAGGTGGTATTGAATAATGGACCATCAGTGAGACGTTAAGCTTATGTTTATATAGTGAACATAGGATCTTCGAATCTTAGTAGAACTCTGAGTTCATAATGGCAAAGTTAGAGTAAATGGGAAAGTCTTTTTACTTGCCTTTGGAGGAGTAGGAATCCTAATTCATATAAGATCCAACATTTGAGGGGAATTAGGATTTAGATGAAATAAGAAGTAGATGAATTAGGGTGTGAATAGAACTCTGGACCCTTTGAAGTGATCTTAGGACAATGGGCTTGGGCCTAAAGAATAATGGTGAGGCCCAATTTGGGTGATTCAACTAATAAGAAGCTTAGTTGGTGTAATGGGCTAGCTCATGACATGGATCTTAGAATAGACCCAAAGGGAATTGAGCCGTAGCATTGGGCCATGTAGGAGATATTTTTCGTGTTTGAGCCTGATAAGACCCAAGACGTTTTTTGGCCTACACAATCAACATTAAGAATTTTTTTAATTTATGCAAACCACTCCACTGTTAATTATACGGATCTTGGCATAATTAAGCAAAATTATAAGAGAGGTCAACATATTTTTTATAAAGCAATACTACTCATCCCAAATGACGTGTTATTATTATATGTAGCATTAACGTATCATTCAATACGCTATCATTTTATTTTCACGTCAATGACACCTATGATGACACATTACTTGGGATTTGGGAAGTGTTTGTTCTTATAATAGAGGTTACTGATAAATTTTGAATTATAGAGGATATTTAATAATTATTTCAAAGTTTAAGGGGCGGTTAGCAAAATTAATCCAATTTGAAAACATGGGTATTCGGGTTAGGAGTCGGTGCAGGGTCCATTCCATATAAACGGGCCAAGATTTAGATTTTAGCGTACTAATACCCGGCATCGATCGAGCCAAGTCGGTGATAAATCGAAATTAAAACAAAAATTCAGCAGCCCTCACTTTGTGTTATACTTGAATTATTGTTATTGGGCGTAGCAAGTCTGCTTCTCAGTTCTTCCTCCGTAATTCTACCGAGACTTTACTTTGCACTTCAACAGGTATGCCACGAATTCTTTTCGCTTTATATTTCTTTTTCAGTTTTCGATTTCACTGAATGCATTGAATCACAAAACCTGGAATTAATTGGTTCTTTAATCAGGGTTTTTGGTCCATTCTTGTGACTTGTTAGGATTTTTTTTTTCTGATCAGGCATCCTAATTGTTATTCTTACTAACAATCTAGTTTGAAAATATTGACGGCATAGTTTTAATTGGATTATTGAATATATTGCCAGGCAAAGTCGCGGTGAAGTTTGAGTGTCTTTGGATTTTTAATTAATTTAGATGGAGGTTAGTACGAGAATTTGATTAAGTAAATTTGTAATTCTGTTTATCGTTTGCATTATTGGCACACTGTTAATATAATGTTTTGCGATTCCTTTAGAAACGAGAGGGGGTTGCTAAGCCTGTTGACCTGGACAAAACAACTGAACTGTTGGAACCCGAGGAGACGACTGGTGGGGGATTATTTGTACCAAATAAGGAACGGCCGATATATAGAGCCCCTGAGGCAAAATCTCAGTTAGGTATGATTTTTTTGGCTGTGGAATTTAATTTTTTATCAAGATATTGGTATTGTCTTATATTCGGCTGTTGCTGCTTTCTTTGCTTTCTTTGGTGAACATAAATACTAGTTTGCTCAAATAGAGGTTAAGAATATGTTTTTGTGACAAAGTGATGGATTGAGTCTACTTGAGAACAAAACTAATAAACCTTGAAGAAGGTGTAGTAGGTTCAGTTCTTTGTTGCCATGTTGCGGGTCTGTTTCATGATTGTTATTGTCTATTTTGTTTTTATCTATATCATATGTGTGCACTCCAACATCAGTTCTTGTCTGCTGTAGAATGATCTCAAAATGGAACTCAAGTTCAACTTGTGGTGTGATTACCCTTTTTTTTGTTTTTTTGAAAGTTATGCAATCCATTTTCTTGCCTTTGCTAATTAAAACTTACAATATAATAGGGCTACAGGCACGTGCTAATGGAAAATGGGGAGGTTCTAATAGTGATGGTGGGTTCAAGGTCCCAAGAGTTGCTTCCCTTGCAGCATCAGTTGACGAGGAGGAGAAGCTTGAATCGTCTGAAATAGATGAGGTAGGCAGTAACATCATAAATGGTGTCCGCAATCATGCTCGTAGGCGGTATCGTGAAACAGCTTCATCTGTGAGTGAGATAATTGATTCAGGTAACCATTTTTTGTCACCTTTTGTTTGCTTTTATATTGCTCTCTCTCTCTCTCTCTCTCTAGTGTGTGTGTGTGTATACATATATATATTTATAAGGGAAACAAAGGTTCTAATATCCCCATCCAATTATTAATTCTCTTATTGCAGAAAATACAAAGACTTCAGGGAGACGAAGTGGTGATTCAAGTGGGATTCATCGCTCAAATGAACATGCATCGTTAGATGTAAATTAATATTCCATTATTAATGTTTCTTTGCTGTTGTTTTATCATCAATTATTAGTGGTACTGATATGGCTTTTCAATTGAAGGTTTCATCTTCTACTGGGAGTTCCTTGAGTGCTTCTACAAGTTCTAGGTATGACAGGAACGGCAGTGGTAGTGAGAGAAGATATTACAAGGATGATTCTAGAAGTGAAAGCAGGGGGGTCAGCCGGAGAGACAGTTATGATAGCAAGGAGCGGTATCATGGAAGGGAAACACGTGGTCGATATGAATTGGATTCCAGTGGAGAATATGGGAGAAAACGAAGCAGATATGAAGGTTCAAGAAGGACACCTGGTATGTGATACTTCCTCACTTAGTTTGTGCTTCAAACTTCTTTCTCTCTATCAAATATAGAATTTGGCACACTTTATTACACATGATTTTGTTTTCTTTAATATTACTTTATCATATTCTTACATTTTGAGGAACATAGCTAATTTGTTACTTATTTTATATTTCCAAGCATTTAGAATCAATGTGCAATAATCTTTGTGTTCAGTATTCATGGCTATAGTTATATTATTAAATTCTTTGTATCGTTCTCATTATTTCCAGTTTTGAGAAGTGAAGTCTCAGAAATTTTAGAAATATTCTTGTGGAATACAAATTAGGGAATCCCAAATGTACGTACATACATCCAGTGGATATTTTCATATGTTAATGTTTGCATATATTCTTTCCTTTTTATTATATGGACTCAAACCACAACTTGTTTATGATATCTACAAAAGAATTTGAAATTTTTTGCTTTCTTATCAAGGAAGGAATTTTAAATTTGTGTGACTTTGTTAATTTTCTGGTAAAACAATATATCACTACCAATAATTGTTATAGAATAAAGATGTTGCTTTTAATTTTAACCTGTGGACTTGCAGGCAGGTCTGATTGGGATGATGGTAGATGGGAATGGGAAGAAACACCACGTCGGGAAAGTTACTCTAATTCCAGTAGGCGCCATCAACCTTCTCCTTCTCCAATGTTTGTTGGGGCCTCACCTGATGCTCGATTAGTTTCTCCCTTGTCAACACCTCGTTCGACTGGTATGATTTTTGCATATGTGAAATCTCTATTTAAATATTAAATTTGCATGTTTAGGTGACAAATACAACAATTATAGCTTTCTTTGTCTATTCTGGGCAAAATTATTGACTCTGAATTACTGTAGGTTATGCTGCCTCTCCATGGGACCATATTTCTCCCTCTCCAGTTCCAATACGTGCATCTGGATCCTCAGTTAGATCTTCAGCTTCTGGATACAGTAGGAAGTCCCATCCACTTTCATTTTCTACTGAAAATTCACAATCATTTGAGGTACTCTATTTGTTCTTGTGTCAATCTTTCTCTCCTCTTTTCCCTTTGGAATGGCAATGGTGGTTGTGTTTGTTTTTTTTTTTTTTCGCTTACTCTTGTCTGGAAAGAAGAGAGGACGGGGGGGTTGTTAATCTTTGTTATGTTTTTTGCATTTCAGAGCTGATCAATATTACAAGCTATCTTTCATTGCCAACCACATTATTCTTAATTTTATGCTTATTATTGTATTTGTAGGATGAAGAAGATAGAACTTATTCTTCTAAAGAAGACAATTATGAGATAACTGAAAGTATGCGTCTGGAGATGGAATACAATTCTGACAGAGCATGGTAATTTACTGATTATATTCATTTGAGAAATGCAATTTATTTATGTTTGTTGGTCTTGATAACTTGGTATTTATACAATGAAACCTTTAAGGATGACTGCTATATCATTTGAAAAAAAAAAAAGTCCTTAAATTAGTAGTCAAAAGCCACAGGGACCAAAATGTAATTAACCCTTGCAGTTTGATTGTTTACTTTAATTTGACTAAGTGTTGCTCTTCTAAGGAATGTTCTTTTTGTGGTCCTTGATCCTTTATCAATATGCTATCCTATTACAATTTTTCTTTCATGGTGTTTACATATACTACCTTATAGTGAACTAACAACGACTATGAATTTTGCTGCACAGGTATGACAGAGATGAAGGAAATACATTTGATGGGGATAGCTCCTCATTTTTTCTTGGGGATGACGCTTCTTTCCAAAAGAAAGAGGTGGAGTTGGCTAAAAGACTGGTACGTTCTAAATGCCTGTGAAGTGACAGCTATTTCTGGCACACATGCCCTTTATAATTGTATAATGGATATTCGTGATAATTTTATGTAATAAAACCAAGAAAAATAATTTCTGTCATAACCTTTCTGGCTATCTTTCTGAATGTGTGGAGGTCCATGTATGGTGCTTTAAGCATACCATCATATGTTGGTTTGCATGTTTAATGTACCCTGTACCTAGTTGCTCTCTGAAGTCATTTCTTTTCTTGTTGGTCCCAGCATTGGCTTCTATGGATATTCCTATTATTGGATTCCTCAACAAATTTATGAACTGTTTGACATGGTGATCTGAATTTTCTGGAAAGTATTATTCTATAAGCAACTTGTGGTTTATTGTGCAGGTTCGAAAAGACGGAACTAGGATGTCATTTGCTCAGAGCAAAAAGTTGTCTCAGATTACTGCTGATAATCATCAGTGGGAAGAGAGGCAGCTTTTGAGATCTGGAGCTGTAAGAGGTACTGAGTTGTCGACTGAGTTTGATGATGAGGAAGAACACAAGGTTATTCTTCTTGTACATGGTAAGAAAAAACTTCATGATAAGCATTTTCAATCCACTAATGCAGGTGTACCAGATTTACAGTACGGGCATAGATGACTGCTGTATCATTTAGCTGAAATTTTCTGTTTACTGTCCAGATACAAAACCTCCTTTCCTGGATGGCAGAATTGTTTTCACTAAACAAGCAGAGCCTATAATGCCCATAAAAGACCCCACATCAGACATGGCTATAATTTCGCGCAAAGGATCTGCTTTGGTTAGAGAAATGCGTGAGAAACAGAGCATGAATAAATCACGTCAACGATTTTGGGAACTTGCAGGCTCAAATTTGGGTAATTTATTGGGTGTGGAGAAAACAGCAGAACAGGTATGTACGGTTTAATAACTATGCAACTTTTTGAATCTCTCTGTCCAATAATATGTTTCATTTTCCTTAATCTCATTACATGTTTTATGCTAGATTGATGCAGATACGGCTGATGTAGGTGAACAAGGTGAAGTTGATTTCAAGGAAGATGCAAAATTTTCACAACACATGAAAAAGGAAGAGGCTGTGAGTGACTTTGCAAAATCCAAAACCATTGCAGAGCAGCGGCAGTATCTACCCATATATTCAGTTCGTGATGAACTATTGCAGGTGTGGTATTTTCTTTTCTTGATATTAGCTTACTTTCCACAGTATACGGTAGTTTAGTTAATGAGTTGCTGAATCACCATCCAATTAGTCTCTTCTAGTAGTGGTTCTTCAGAATTTGAAAGGTTTCTTGATAACTATTGTTTGGTCTTATTACTTGATATTTGAGCGCCAATATAGCATGGATTCTCAAAAGAACTAGGTTGGAGGACTTTTTATTATCTATTTCTATCGCCTGATCTTTTGAGTCACAAATGGGGGGAAAATTCTTATCATCTTTCTTTCTTTGTTTATTTTTGTCCTCTACTTTTGGCTGTTCCATGAATTTCGTTTGGCTTTGAATTTTGGCTGTTCCATGAATTTCGTTTGGCTTTGAATTTAACATTATAATGATAGTGTTCATTCTTAATCTTTCAAATGTCTATTGGATAGGTAATACGTGAAAATCAGGTGGTTGTTGTTGTTGGAGAAACTGGCTCTGGGAAGACAACTCAACTGACACAGGTATTTCCATGTTTGGAAGTTTTGTAATGGTTTAAGTTATGTGCCAAATAAACTGAATTTGACATGTGGATATTGTTTACAGTTCTTACATGAAGATGGATACACCACGAATGGTGTTGTGGGTTGTACCCAACCTAGGCGTGTGGCCGCTATGAGTGTGGCAAAGAGAGTCAGTGAAGAAATGGAAACTGAGTTAGGTGACAAGGTCGGTTATGCCATTCGTTTTGAGGACGTGACTGGGCCAAACACCATAATTAAGGTAAGTGGTTCTGTTAGTCTTCTACTTTTGATATCTGTTGTGGCACTGATGCTCAGCAAATGTGTTTTTTCAATATTTCGCTGATGCTTAATTGTCTCTGGCATAAAAGTTACCCATAGAACTATATATACCTTGATATGGCTTATTGAATTATAGGTCGTTGGGCACATTTCTCAAGTTTTTTCAATTGTTTCATTGTGGTTTGGTTATGATACTTCGCTAAAACTATGCATCTTTAATTTTGTAGTACATGACTGATGGAGTGCTTCTCCGTGAAACTTTGAAAGATTCAGATCTTGACAAGTATCGGTATGGGAACTGTGATTTTTATATCTTTTTCCATCCATATGTTTAACTCTGGTATCTGTGATCAAAACAAAATTATTTATTGTCATGATTGTAACTGTTGCAGTGTTATTGTGATGGATGAAGCACATGAGAGATCTCTAAGCACGGATGTCCTGTTTGGGATACTGAAAAAAGTGGTTGCCCGTCGTCGTGATTTCAAGCTCATCGTAACATCTGCAACTCTAAATGCGGAGAAGTTTTCAAATTTCTTTGGGAGGTATGTTTTTCATTAACATATTTTATTAGTATTTGGGTGTGTTGGCATCTCCTGCACCTAAATGACATATATTTTTGAATTTGTTTGCAGTGTACCAATTTTCCACATTCCTGGGAGAACATTTCCGGTCAATGTTTTGTACAGTAAAACTCCCTGTGAAGACTATGTGGAAGCAGCAGTGAAGCAGGCCATGACAATTCACATCACCAGCTCCCCAGGTGACATCCTAATCTTCATGACTGGCCAAGATGAGATTGAGGCAGCCTGTCATGCCCTTGCAGAGCGCATGGAACAGCTTGTCTCCACCACCAAGAGAGAGGTTTCTAAACTTGAGATACTCCCAATATACTCCCAGTTGCCGGCTGACTTGCAAGCCAAGATATTCCAGAAAGCTGAAGAGGGGGCTCGCAAATGCATTGTTGCCACCAACATTGCTGAGACATCGCTGACTGTAGATGGAATTTATTATGTCATTGACACAGGTTATGGTAAAATGAAAGTTTACAACCCTAAAATGGGTATGGATGCTCTTCAAGTTTTCCCTGTCAGCCGTGCTGCTGCTGACCAGCGAGCTGGACGTGCTGGTAGAACTGGGCCAGGTACATGTTATCGTCTGTATACAGAAAGTGCATACCTGAATGAATTGCTGCCAAGTCCTGTGCCAGAGATTCAGAGAACCAACCTTGGTAATGTGGTGTTGTTACTCAAGTCCCTTAAAGTTGATAACTTGCTGGATTTTGACTTCATGGACCCACCTCCGGCGGATAACATCTTGAATTCTATGTATCAGTTGTGGGTGTTAGGTGCACTTAACAATGTTGGGGGCTTAACTGATCTTGGCTGGAAAATGGTGGAATTCCCATTGGACCCCCCACTTGCTAAGATGCTCTTGATGGGTGAGCAACTAGGATGCCTTGATGAGGTTTTGACTATTGTATCAATGCTTTCAGTGCCATCAGTATTCTTCCGGCCTAAGGATAGGGCAGAGGAGAGTGATGCTGCAAGAGAGAAATTTTTTGTGCAAGAATCTGACCATTTAACTCTGCTTTATGTTTACCAGCAATGGAAGGAGCACCAGTATCGGGGAGACTGGTGTAGTGATCATTATTTGCATGTTAAATCCTTGCGAAAGGCTAGAGAGGTGAGATCTCAGCTGCTGGATATTCTCAAGACACTGAAAATCCCGCTAACATCTAGCGGACATGATTATGACATCGTCAGAAAAGCCATCTGTTCTGCATACTTCCACAATGCCGCAAGATTAAAGGGAGTTGGGGAGTATGTAAATTGCAGGAACGGAATGCCCTGCCATCTGCACCCAAGCAGTGCTATTTATGGTTTGGGATACACTCCAGAGTATCTGGTTTATCATGAATTGATTTTGACGACCAAGGAGTACATGCAATGTGCTACAGCTGTAGAGCCTCATTGGTTGGCTGAGCTAGGACCAATGTTTTTCACTGTGAAGGATTCCGATACATCGATGTTGGAGCATAAGAAAAAACAGAAGGAAGGGAAAACTGCTATGGAGGAGGAGATGGAAAATTTGAAGAAGGAACAAGCAGAGGAAGAAAGAAGAAACAAGGAGAGAGAGAAGAATAAGAGGGCAAAGGAGCAGCAACAAGTGTCGATGCCGGGTTTGCGCCAGGGTGGCTCTACCTACCTCAGACCAAAGAAGCTCGGTTTGTAAATGTAAATTATGCCGTGTAACTAACTGTCATTGATTACAGAGAGAAATAATTACGTTAAATATGATGAACAAAGTTGTTCTCATTTGTTACTGTTATCCTAAAAAGAATTTTAAAAAGCAAAAAAAAAAAAAAAAAAAAAAAGAGTTTGTTGATGTCAATATTACGTATTCAGGATGCATTTCCCCCTTATTTGCCAGAATATTATTCAATTAAAATTACGGTCAGTTTGTATGAATTTTAACTAATTTTTGTGGTTTTTAAGCATTTTACAAATTTAATGTTATAAGGTAAGTCACAAATATGATGTGTGATCCTAACGTTAAACTTAATGTTTATAGTTTGAATTTTGAAACACGTTCGGAGAGAAATATTTTACAGTTTACTTGGACAAATAAAAAGAAAATTTAAAACCAATAATGGAGTTATCAACCTGGCTTTAAGCAAAAGCATGTACAATTTTCGATCTCTAAAATTAATAATTATGTTGTAAAATTAACTTAATATTTATACATTCTGATTTTATACGTAACCTTTTGAAATTAGCTTAATATAGTATTTAATGGCTTTCTATCATCTCAATTATATATTATTGATATTGTATTACATATTTCGTGCTATAATTAATTATTAAGATTACGTGGCAAACCACGATTTGCTGACTGACGGCCTTGGCGCATTTTTATCTTCTCCTTCTTATATATCTAGGGCTCGAATAAAAGCAAGAAACTTGTTTCTGTTGGAATTCTGGACAATCTGGATTCAGTTTCACTAAATTCCCGCTTTCTTGTTACTCTTCGTCTTATAGTTCGTTTGATTAAGTAGTGTTTAATCTTCCATAAATTTTTCATCTGTAACTTTCATTTCTTCTTATTTTTGCATGTTTGTACATTAGTAGTGAGAAGCTCTGATCAGTTGAGAAGAAGCTAAAATGGTAAAGAACATGTTGTTTTTGAATTTGAAAAGTTTATAATTCACTGATTTAATGAGAAGTAAATTTTAACACCGGTGTCATTGGTTTTAACAGTCGGCACTATTCAATTTCCGTTCGTTTCTGACAGTTCAGATGTTGGGAATTTGTACGTGCCCTTTTTTAAAACTGCAATTTCCAGCACTTCTTGAACAGAGAACTGGCTATGTTCCTTGTGTCAATCTACTTTGTAGGTTTGTTTTTTTCCTTTTAATTTTGTGTATGTGTGTGTTTGAATAATAGGTTTCATGAATACTAGATTTGCAGGAGGCTTTGTATGAGAAACTTGAAATTTCAAGGTTTGAATTTTAATAAAATGAGACATATCTTTATCAATTTCGGTTGTGTTGGATGAATTTTTGGAAAGCATCTCTATTATAAGTCTCAGGTCATCTCCTGGTTGCCCAGAGTTCAATGCTTTCAGTGCCGAGTGGGGGGCTTTGGTGGCTAATTTACTACTGCTTGAGAGAATATATCAGGCGTTTCGCCCTTTAACAGGAGGAAACCCCTCCAATTGTTGAGCCATCATTTGGGCAGTGCAAACTGTCAGCTTCAACCATTGTAATCCTTTGTTGAATCCCACTATGTATAGTGATTAGAAGACATACATTTCTAAATAATGTTCCTCTTCTTACGCCCTTCTTCGCCCTGTGCCATTTGACTTGCTGCTGAAATTAATATTTAGACTACTTCAAGTTGTGAGAGGTGGGACCCATGTTTTAAGGTCATGTTTTGCTGCATCTTTTGAAATTTACTTATAAGTGGTCTATCGAAGATTTAATTTATTTTTATTTTTGTTTAACATGGATAGTTGTTGTATCATTTTTTTTTTTTTTTTTAACAGTACTTTGTGTATTCTTGGTCTCCTTTTTTATCTGAAGAAAGTGGTGACAGTGCTCACTAATATCTGTAAATTGCTTATCTGACAGGTATCGTGGTTTCTCCTGGAAAGCTGCCAGGATAGGTAGGCTTCCCTAGCTAGATCACCATTCTACTGTTGGACTACACTACAATGTGTTTTTCTTTTGCTTTTTTAACTTTTAGGTTTTATTATTCTTAATTGCCAAATGTTAAAAGAAGCTGAATAAAAAATTGATTTATTACTAATACCCTCTTGTTGATTATGCAATAATGCTTCAGATTTGATTTTCTTAATCTAGAATTGATTTATCTAAGCTAGAAATATTCATACAAATGATTCGTGTATATGTAAAGGTTGATGATGGACTCAGAAACTTTCAGATGACTATTGTATAATTACCAAGAGGAGTGCAGAACATGGAAGTAAAATAAACCATATAAATCTATAGTTTTCTTTTCTTAAGTATAGATTAGAAGGAAGTTAAAGACAAGGGGCCAAAGTCCATTGATTTTAGGTGGTAAAGGGTGCGGTTGGGAATCAGTGATGGAATCCTACCCAATAAATGCAAAAATAAATAAATATGTAATTTAAATGAAGCTGGGTAGGGTGTACCACATTAGAAGATTCCACTAGATGTAGAAACTTTACTTGAGAAGCTAGTCTAGATTTAGGGTATCATGAGGTACCATGTTGATGCACCTTCTATTATTGTTTGTCTTCCTATTTTGATTTTCTAAAAATGCATGATTTTAGCTCTGATTTGAATGCGAATGGATTAGGCTTGGGCTCGAGTATTTTAAGTTGTGGGATTGTCATGATTTGAACCCTTTCTAATAGCCAAGGCTCTCCTATTTCTAGGTCCTAATGGAGACTAGATTGTTTTTATTCAGCTCAAGTCTTAGTGTGAACAGTCAAACCTGTCATATTATTTATCTTGGCCCAGAAACACATTAGGGGTTTGCAGCTTGCTAGTGTGATTGGACTTGTTCTTTTTTGAGCCAACTTTTTGCTTATAATTGCATGCATTATGATTCAACAGGCTGATCCATCCTTGAGCGGTTGTTGATAAAGGTGAGCGCTTGAGCCCCTGGGTCGCTGTAGGGTGCTTCACGATGGGTGTGTCGATCATCTTTTTCTGATCAACAATTATTTTCTGTTTTCAGAAGTAAGGTCCATCTTTTTACGTGGGCATTCTTTTCCATGTGCGGAAATATTTTACTCTTCAAATTTTTGTTATCCAATTATTTGTGGGATAAAATGAGTTTATGTTGACACTCTTTTGAACTTACTATCTTGATTTTAAGGCCAGTATTCTCTGGCAATTTGTTAGTTGTCTTTCAAAAATTATTAATTTTTGTATATAAAAAATCATCCAGATGACTTATTATGGATAGATAAATATCATGTTAATATAATTCCTTTTATTTTACGTCCATCTTTGAGAAAACCAGAGCCTTTGAATAAAAAAGTCAAGGAAAAGAAGTAATTCGGTTATCTAGTAAGTTCATTTTACAAAATTTTATAATTTTTAATCAAAAGCCTGTAAGTTTTTGGGAGGTTGGGGTGGTGGGTTAGACTTGATTTGGATGTAACCTATGTCAACCTATATTTATACAAAGAAGTGAGTCAACGCTCATTATTTACATAAAGATGGTGTGTTGTTGATACAAGCAGTCAAATATAGCTGAAGAAAAGGAAGAAAGCATAGATCAAGCAGAAATTAGGGCAGTAGGGGACTTGAGTCTCACAGGGACACATGCAATGATGTAAATTGTGAACTTGTGCTTGAATCTCCTGAGGACCAAAACCTTCCCTCCTCCCCAGTGGAACACAGATAGGATTATATCCTTAAGGGGTGTCTTCTTGATAGGTTTCTTTTCAGTGCTCTCGTGAGTGACCTTCGATGTTTCTTCATTGTTTTCTTCGCTCTTGCTTCCCCATTGAAGAGGATAGCTCCGCAGGAAGACCCTTCGGTTATTATAGTCTTCATGGCGAAAGCTTCTTGTTCTCATCTTGTTTTCCTCCATGTCTTTGAAATTCATAGCTTGATATTCTGTTTTACTTGTGGAATTACTCTAGCTTTTATATAGAGAAAAGAGAGACGGAGAGAGCTGGCAATTCATTAAAAAACAGTAGGACAACAAAAGAAAGGACAAGAGAGTGAGAACAATTTTTCCACCATTGATTACGGATTAAACACTGTATGAAAACAACAATAACAATAATAAACTAACAATGGTAAGCTCTTGTTTTGGCTTTTCCTTTGTTCCAACAAGAATATATTTATATGCATATTATTTTAAAAGTATACTGCGGATCAGATGCTTTACTAGGACTATTGCTTTCTGTACTCTTGTATTCTGTTGGTGGCAAATTTTCAATTTATGAGGAGCTCAGGAACTGAGGACTGCTATAGGCTCTTATGGTTTGTTGTGTGTCGAGTGTAGCAGCTATATTACATGCATGTAAAACATTTTCTAAGTTATTTAATTCCCTTTCTGTAATTGTATTATTTCCTTTGTTGAATATGCTCCTTTTATTCTCCTCACAACAGCTGACATAGAATCATTATCGTTCTGATTTAGGAAAAAAAATATTGGTAGAACATGAGATACCTGTAGCATCTCATGTCTGGAGATTGATTGATGTTATTTGTTGGAGGATCAGGATATTTAACGAATTTTAGGGCTCAACATAATTATGTATAGCTTACAGTTGGTGATACATTGATTTGAATCAGCTCTCGTTTTCAAATTAGCACATAATATCTGGTCAAAATTAATAATTATGTTGTAAAATTAACTTAATATTTATACATTCTGATTTTATACGTAAACTTTTGAAATTAGCTTAATATAGTATTTAATGGCTTTCTATTATCTCAATTATGTATTATTGATATTGTATTACATATTTCGTGCTATAATTAATTATTAAGATTACGTGGCAAACCACGATTTGCTGACTGACGGCCTTGGCGCCTTTTTTTCTTCTCCTTCTTATATATCTAGGGCTCGATTAAAAGCAGGAAACTTGTTTCTGTTGGAATTCTGGATAATCTGGATTCAGTTTCACTAAATTCCCGCTTTCTCGTTACTCTTCTTCTTATAGTTCGTTTGATTAAGTAGTGTTTAATCTTCCGTAAATTTTTCATCTGTAACTTTCATTTCTTCTTATTTTTGCATGTTTGTAGATTAGTAGTGAGAAGCTGTGATCAGTTGAGAAGAAGCTAAACTGATAAAGAACATGTTGTTTTTGAATTTGAAAAGTTTATAATTCACTGATTTAATGAGAAGTGAATTTTAACACCGGTGTCATTGGTTTTAACAGTCGGCACTATTCAATTTCCGTTCGTTTCTGACAGTTCAGATGTTGGGAATTTGTACGTGCCCTTTTTTAAAACTGCAATTTCCAGCACTCCTTGAACAGAGAACTGGGTATGTTCCTTGTGTCAATCTACTTTGTAGGTTTGTTTTTTTCCTTTTAATTTTGTGTATGTGTGTGTTTGAATAATAGGTTTCATGAATACTAGATTTGCAGGAGGCTTTGTATGAGAAACTTGAAATTTCAAGGTTTGAATTTTAATAAAATGAGACATATCTTTATCAATTTCGGTTGTGTTGGATGAATTTTTGGAAAGCATCTCTATTGTAAGTCTCAGGTCATCTCCTGGTTGCCCAGAGTTCAATGCTTTCAGTGCCGAGTGGGGGGCTTTGGTGGCTAGTTTACTACTGCTTGAGAGAATATATCAGGCGTTTCGCCCTTTAACAGGAGGAAACCCCTCCAATTGTTGAGCCATCATTTGGGCAGTGCAAACTGTCAGCCTCAACCATTGTAATCCTTTGTTGAATCCCACTATGTATAGTGATTAGAAGACATACATTTCTAAATAATGTTCCTCTTCTTACGCCCTTCTTCGCCCCGTGCCATTTAACTTGCTGCTGAAATTAATATTTAGACTACTTCAAGTTGTGAGAGGTGGGACCCATGTTTTAAGGTCATGTTTTGCTGCATCTTTTTGAAATTTACTTATAAGTGGTCTATCGAAGATTTAATTTATTTTTGTTTAACATGGATAGTTGTTATAACATTTTTTTTTTTTTTTTTAACAGTACTTTGTGTATTCTTGGTCTCCTTTTTTATCTGAAGAAAGTGGTGACAGTGCTCACTAATATCTGTAAATTGCTTATCTGACAGGTATCGTGGTTTCTCCTGGAAAGCTGCCAGGATAGGTAGGCTTCCCTAGCTAGATCACCATTCTACTGTTGGACTACACTACAATGTGTTTTTCTTTTGCTTTTTTAACTTTTAGGTTTTATTATTCTTAATTGCCAAATGTTAAAAGAAGTTGAACAAAAAATTGATTTATTACTAATACCCTCTTGTTGATTATGCAATAATGCTTCAGATTTGATTTTCTTAATCGAGAATTGATTTATCTAAGCTAGAAATATTCATACAAATGATTCGTGTATATGTAAAGGTTGATGATGGACTCAGAAACTTTCAGATGACTATTGTATAATTACCAAGAGGAGTGCAGAACATGGAAGTAAAATAAACCATATAAATCTATAGTTTTCTTTTCTTAAGTATAGATTAGAAGGAAGTTAAAGACAAGGGGCCAAAGTCCATTGGTTTTAGGTGGTAAAGGGTGCGGTTGGGAATCAAGGATGGAATCCTACCCAATAAATGCAAAAATAAATAAATATGTAATTTAAATGAAGCTGGGTCGGGTGTACCACATTAGAAGATTCCACTAGATGCAGAAACTTTACTTGAGAAGCTAGTCTAGATTTAGGGTATCATGAGGTACCATGTTGATGCACCTTCTATTATTGTTTGTCTTCCTATTTTGATTTTCTAAAAATGCATGATTTTAGCTCTGATTTGAATGCGAATGGATTAGGCTTGGGCTCGAGTATTTTAAGTTGTGGGATTGTCATGATTTGAACCCTTTTTAATAGCCAAGGCTCTCCTATTTCTAGGTCCTAATGGAGACTAGATTGTTTTTATTCAGCTCAAGTCTTAGAGTGAACAGTCAAACCTGTCATATTATTTATCTTGGCCCAGAAACACATTAGGGGTTTGCAGCTTGCTAGCGTGATTGGACTTGTTCTTTTTTGAGCCAACTTTTTGCTTATAATTGCATGCATTATGATTCAACAGGCTGATCCATCCTTGAGCGGTTGTTGATAAAGGTGAGCACTTGAGCCCCTGGGTCGCTGTAGGGTGCTTCACGATGGGTGTGTCGATCATCTTTTTCTGATCAACAATTATTTTCTGTTTTCAGAAGTCAGCTCCATCTTTTTTTTTTACGTGGGCATTCTTTTCCATGTGCGGAAATATTTTACTCTTCAAATTTTTGTTATCCAATTATTTGTGGGATAAAATGAGTTTATGTTGACACTCTTTTGAACTTACTATCTTGATTTTAAGGCCAGTATTCTCTGGCAATTTGTTAGTTGTCTTTCAAAAATTATTAATTTTTGTATATAAAAAATCATCCAGATGACTTATTATGGATAGATAAATATCATGTTAATATAATTCCTTTTATTTTACGTCCATCTTTGAGAAAACCAGAGCCTTTGAATAAAAAAGTCAAGGAAAAGAAGTAATTCGGTTATCTAGTAAGTTCATTTTACAAAATTTTATAATTTTTAATCAAAAGCCTGTAAGTTTTTGGGAGGTTGGGGTGGTGGGTTAGACTTGATTTGGATGTAACCTATGTCAACCTATATTTATACAAAGAAGTGAGTCAACGCTCATTATTTACATAAAGATGGTGTGTTGTTGATACAAGCAGTCAAATATAGCTGAAGAAAAGGAAGAAAGCATAGATCAAGCAGAAATTAGGGCAGTAGGGGACTTGAGTCTCACAGGGACACATGCAATGATGTAAATTGTGAACTTGTGCTTGAATCTCCTGAGGACCAAAACCTTCCCTCCTCCCCAGTGGAACACAGATAGGATTATATCCTTAAGGGGTGTCTTCTTGATAGGTTTCTTTTCAGTGCTCTCGTGAGTGACCTTCGATGTTTCTTCATTGTTTTCTTCGCTCTTGCTTCCCCATTGAAGAGGATAGCTCCGCAGGAAGACCCTTCGGTTATTATAGTCTTCATGGCGAAAGCTTCTTGTTCTCATCTTGTTTTCCTCCATGTCTTTGAAATTCATAGCTTGATATTCTGTTTTACTTGTGGAATTACTCTAGCTTTTATATAGAGAAAAGAGAGACGGAGAGAGCTGGCAATTCATTAAAAAACAGTAGCACAACAAAAGAAAGGACAAGAGAGTGAGAACAATTTTTCCACCATTGATTACGGATTAAACACTGTATGAAAACAACAATAACAATAATAAACTAACAATGGTAAGCTCTTGTTTTGGCTTTTCCTTTGTTCCAACAAGAATATATTTATATGCATATTATTTTAAAAGTATACTGCGGATCAGATGCTTTACTAGGACTATTGCTTTCTGTACTCTTGTATTCTGTTGGTGGCAAATTTTCAATTTATGAGGAGCTCAGGAACTGAGGACTGCTATAGGCTCTTATGGTTTGTTGTGTGTCGAGTGTAGCAGCTATATTACATGCATGTAAAACATTTTCTAAGTTATTTAATTCCCTTTCTGTAATTGTATTATTTCCTTTGTTGAATATGCTCCTTTTATTCTCCTCACAACAGCTGACATAGAATCATTATCGTTCTGATTTAGGAAAAAAAATATTGGTAGAACATGAGATACCTGTAGCATCTCATGTCTGGAGATTGATTGATGTTATTTGTTGGAGGATCAGGATATTTAACGAATTTTAGGGCTCAACATAATTATGTATAGCTTACAGTTGGTGATACATTGATTTGAATCAGCTCTCGTTTTCAAATTAGCACATAATATCTGGCAATTCAATGACCTTGGATGAAGATTTCGTATATGAACCAACCATATAGAGACACCTAAAGTGAAAAGAAAGTGGCCGAAGCCACAATTTCAATGTTGGTGGATATTGTCATGTTTAGAAACGCTTTGCCGTTGAGGGAATTTATAATTTATACCTATAGCATCATCCATCAGGATCAGGAATCCCTAGAAAAACACACTACCCAGTACCCACCACAGCCAAGGCACGTCGAAAACGATAGCCATGAAGCAAGATGACAAAAGGGATTAGCTTGTTAGGTAATTTGATTGACTTGTAGTTAGAGACTTACTTCAAAATGATCCTTCCTTTACACAATTGAATTTGCTTTAAGATGCAAGGATATCATTGTTGATGGTTATTTCATATCCTATAAGATTGAGCCATGGAAGAATGAATTCTACATAGGAGCAAACAAAATATAAAAGGAAATGAAAAAAGGGATATGATATGCTTTTGCTTCCTACACTTTTGTTGCACTCACCAGCAAATTTCAGTGATGACATGATTGCTTTTTTTGCTTCATCTTAAATTCGATAACTACCAAGCTACTTGTTTGTCATTACTTCTAAGTTATTTTACATCATATTTATGGGAAAAACAACCCACAAAAAGTGGTCCAAAATGGCTGAACCCTTTTCCCCCAAAAGATTACAAGAAAACCCAACCTCAGAAAGAATATTATTATTACTATAATTATCTGTGGTTCAGGAGGAGATTAAGAGCCTCTAAAAATCTTGTTTGAATTCGTCTATGCTATTCTTAGAGCCACATGTGCGTAGTTATCCTTGCCCCTTGGTCATTTCTTAAATTGACGATGATTACAATGAGTAAAGAAGAGTTATTAATACAATGTCCCACCACTGTGAATTGAAATTTAACCACCAGATAGAGACATAAAAATCTACAGTTGGATAATTGCTCAACGTGTAAGACAGTTCAAGATGTGGACCTGTTGTATTTGTATCAACTTTGTAATAGTCAGTAAAGTCTGAACTAACTCGTTTACCTTCTTTCAGTAAAATGATTTATAGAAATTGAGTTGGTTTACAATGTTTTCAACTTTCTTCAGATGGGTTTCTTTCTTTTTTTTAAAGATTTGATGAGGACATGACGATGAGATGGAAAAAAAATTTGGTCCATTGCCATCTGATATTTTGTTCAACAGTAGCAGTTGAACACTGTACAAGCACTAACCATGGTACTATTATTGCCTCACTATAGATGACTTTCTCAGGCAAATAATGAAAGTGGAACCAACCAAAAAGCTACTTTTCGTTATTGTCTTGTTGCAGGCTTACAGTGGAAAAATTTAATGGAGTTAAAATGAAAACTAAATATAAATATAAATATAAAAGTAAAGAAAGGGTCCCATTTCTGCCAATGCCATTACTTCGCTTTCAAGACCAATCGACTTCCTCTCCAGATTTTAGTTGACAACTTTTATCTCCTCCAAGCATAGAGCCAAAGAATAGTGTTCCTCTTCATTTCTCTCTCTCTCTCTCTGTCTCTCTGTCTCTCTTTCTGGTAGTTAGAAATACCGAGTTTGAAGTTATTGATGTGAATGAATAGACTCTCGACAATAAAATCCAGTTTAAGAGATGGGTAATTGTGTTACAGTTCAAAAGAACTCACTGAACTCTGAAATGAAACTTGCTGTCCAAATTCAATCACCCACTAAGCAGAAAACTACCAAAATCGATCAAAACACCGTTGGCCACCGTTTCTTGCCTCAAACGACAGAAATGGGACATGAGGCTAGTTTTCAAGACTTGAGTTTGAGTATGATTCTAACTTGGTTTACTAATTTCATATATATCTTCTTTTTTGCCATTTTTTTTTTTACATGTCTTGGTTGTTTAATTATTGATTATCTGTTTATGATGTTTGATTGTGGTTCATTTTTCTCTCTATAAAAATTTTGTTTCCCCTGCTTATTATATGGTGACTTTACATAATTCTATTTTTAAAGTGTAAGTCTATATAATCAAAATAGACATTGTAGTGAGATGCATAGAGATAGTAGTTATTGAATTAGCATGTACAATCATTATGCTCTTAGGAAATTTTTGTTTCAGCCAAATTATGGAGGTTTACTGAACTCTTTGTACGCATTGTTCATATGGTTCAATTTAAAGGTTTTCCGTTCACGTTTTGTATTTTTGTTTGTTTGTGACTTCGATTTATAATTTAATGTAGTGTTTAACTGTCTGTGGCTATGTGCTTCTAATCCTTCTTGGCATGGAATGTGCACATTTTGTGTGCAGGTAGTAAAGAGGAAATGTTTTTCGATTCTCAAGCCTGGTTAGAATCTGATTGTGAAGATTACTTCAGTGTCAATGGTGGTAAGATTCAGTTTGTTGTAGGAAAAAAGTTATTTTACTGTTTTCGAATATCTGCATTTTACTTTACTGCAATTTCTAGATAACTAAAGCTGAAGAGGCTGCAATTCCATCTTGGATCTTTGATTAGATTGTATATGTAACAGATCTTACCCCATCTTCTGGCAACTCTCCGATCCACCATAAGAGCGCCATAGATACTCCTCATCTGGATAAGATTGTTTATACGGACAGCACACCGATGCCAAATTCCTTACCTGAACCATCTCCTACGGATATGAAAAAACAACTGATTGAGCTCTTCCGTGAGAGTTTCAGTGATGGTTGTAGTGATGGAGATCAAAATTTACATGGTCAGCAGGAAGCCAAGCCAACTGTTTTTGACCTCCCTCCAAAATCTACAAGTCCATATGAATTAGTTCCAAATTCTGTTTGCAATAGTGAAAGAACTCCTTATAGAGAAATCTATTCCAGGAAAGGGAAATCATCTCAATACTCTCAGTGCTGCATTCCAAGTTTGATGCGCAGCCTGAGCTTTACTGAGAGGAAAAAAGGGCTGAGTTCCGCCAGTGCTTGAGGATGGTAAGTGAAGCTCTTCACTTCTTTCAGAAGTTGTACTTCTAAACTAGTGTACCTGTAAGAAGCTAAAACCTGACATCCTTTTCAGTTGTCTTTGTGAACAGAAAATAGAGTTGATCTATGGACTAAGTTTTTTTTGTATCATTTATAGTGCAAGTTTGGGGTTCTCTCTCTCTCTCTTCTCTTTTTCCTGTGTTTCTATGATTCATGTTTGTATTTAGTTTCAGAGTTCTGAAATCAGCTGCTTACATCATATATGCAAAACATACTAGAATTACTTGATTCATTCTGTGGAGAAAAGTGTTTGAATCTGACTATCAATTTACCTTGTCTGGAAAAGGGATACAACTCAATATCATATTCTTAAGTACTGAAGTAGGAAACACAATTTTACAGGATAGATGCAGTACCTTGAAAGTTGGATCAAGGTTCATCACGCTGCCAACCTGCTACGCTAATTACTAACCAATGACCTGAGATGCTAAGATAAAGGAGAAGATAAAAAAAGGAGAAATAAGAATAAAGCACATGACAATGGCCAACGGAAATATTTCATCTTCCTGTTGTATCTTTAAACTCTGCTTGCTGATGTTCACTGTCCTTTTCAGTCCACTTATGTTCATTGTCTTTCTGCGGTAAGAATAAATGATGTAAGAGCTAGAATGAAAAAGCACTACTAGAGATTATGGATTATGAATAGAGGTCGATGATTGTTTTGTTTTGAACATACAAATAGCTGGAACTACACTTAAATTTTCAGAATACACATGACAAGCTATTACAGTTTTTAAACATATACATGGTTCACCCCTTGATTGTAAAAATCTTCATCATCTCCTTTTAGCATGCTTTATTAACTGCAACGACCTGGCTGACACATGACGAAGGATAAAGGAAAAACGAACCAGGAAAAAAAGAATATAGTAACAATCGAAGATTATTTTTACCTCTCCAATGGCTACTTCTTTATCTTTTAGGTGTCTTCCCCGTAAACGAGCCTTGTAAACTTCAATGATCAACGAGAGCCTACCTTCATTCATCAATGAATCTAAAATAGCATGTCTCCAAGACTTCTTAATCACCAAAGCACCGAAACAACACTCCAAAATCCTACGGCAAATCCCAGTCCCATCGACGTAAAAACCATATTTTCGGACCCTCTTCATCTCCATCTTTTTCTTCTGTACCCTCATAAATGGACAGACTCTTGAAAGTCTGAACTGGTTGGTTGATGGAATCGTCCTGAAAAGTTATTGTATGAAAGTTCAAATGGGACAAAGGTCATGAGGACATCGTTGGAGGAATTGGACCTGAAAGACGGTTACATGACAGGTCAAGAGACTCCAACTTTTGCAAACTTCCGATATTCTCCGTATCTTTCCCTGCATTGGTTCCTGACAGATTTAAGGTAAATAAAGCTGAGAGATTTGTTATCTCTTCAGGTATCTCTCCCACTAAATTGTTTCCCGCGAGATCAATGACCCTTAGAGTGAAATTATCTTCGTATAGTCATTTTGTCTTCCCTTGCAACCAACTCCACATGCTCAGAGAACTCATGTGTAGGTTGAGAGTTCAGATCCAAAGTAAAGCCCGGAAGTTTGAATGCTTTCAGATTGCCGATAAATCTAGGATGGATTCTGATAAGTTATTATGTGCAAGGTCCAAGGGTGAGATAGGAAATTGCATAGTTGTTAGGATATTTCCAGTTAAAAGGTTGGATCTGAGCCCTAAATATTACAAAAAGAGATTCTGTTATTGGAAGGGTCCCAAAAAATCTATTTTCCCAAGACAAGAGCATATATTCGGCAATTTTGCAAGCGATAGAGAGGTCTCCAGAAAGTTTGTACCCTCTAGTTTCAACCAGCCAAAAAAGGTAGCGAACAGAGAGAGCTAGGAAATCCGTCTGATAGCCTGTTTTTTGACAGGTCTAAAACTCAGTTGTTCTAACCTCCCAGTTTGGGAATTTCCTCGTTCAAGTGATTATTAGATAGTCTAGAAAAGACAAATCCCTGATTTTATTTATGGATGGTGGATGCTACCAGTCAGATGGTTTTGCGAAAGAGCCGACTTCTAAGTATTGGCAATTCCTGACCGAAGTTTATTGGAATTGCGTAAGTAAATTATTTCTCAATGAGAGTCTTGTGACGTTTGACCAAGCGGTGATGAAGAACCCTCCAACCTGTTGAATCCCAAATCAATCAAGGCACCAGTCTGATTAACATGTATTGACTTAGTAGCTCCCCTCTTAATTGATTCTGAAAGATCTAACCACCCACACGCCATGGTGAAACTCCAAAGCCAATCAGGTATAGTGTCGAATTTCAGCGTTTGAGAGTGCTATTCAGAATTTTTCTTCTTGAGTTAAGCCAAGAAGGAAATGCGGACCCAAATGGCAATCACTGATTGCCATGGTATATATACTGAAGGAGGAATCCAATCGTGTCTCACATTAACCAGTATGTTGCTTGTACATGAGAAGGATAGATAGTTTTTGCCTTGTGAGATTTTTGAAATTATTTTCAGTGATGACACCATTCCGAATTCCCATAGAGACGCAATGCGTTTAACTCTGTAAGCTGTCCTATACCTTCCAAATCATCCTCAAATCTTTTAAAGATAGATCCTTGTTTCCAAAGGGACAAATTTTCCTATAGACGATGGAAGTGGGCCTAAGAACAAGTTTTGGGATAGATCAAGATGTTCCAAATCTTAGACTGCCCCAAAGAATCAGGTAGATCACTGAGTTTATTTGAACCAAATCCAAGTCATCAAGGTTCTGTTATTGCATCAAGACAAAGCCTCCATAAACTTTGTATTCACCACTAATGCCATTATTAGAAAGATCTAAAGTATGCAAGTTGCACAGTTCCCCTGGAACCTTGGGGATGGAACCTGAAGTTTATGTTAGATCACCCTACGCAAGGTTATAATTGAAAGGCAAGAGTAGATAGGCTATTCACTGAGTGTACGTGACATTGAATTGGAGAGTGGTGAGTTTATTATGAGTATGGAGTTTTGTTATAGAAAGTACACGTGGCTGATAGCGTTAATACAGAATACAATATTAGTATATAAAGAGGATGGAGGAGGCAGATCATTATCGAGTAACATCTTCATAGAAATTGGGAGCCCTCAGCTCCTCGAACTGCTAGGAACCTGCTTGTTGAATGAATTGCTCTTTCAGGGATATTTCAATCCTAATTAACACTATTTCAGTTTTTTCAGATGTTGCAGTTGTTTGCTATTGTGCTTGTGTTTGCGGTGGTTGTTTGGATTTGTTTTACAGGGGATTCCATCAGTTCACAACCAACAAGTTTGATATTCACGCCTGTACTTATGTTGAACAACCAGTGCGGCAATGGAGAGCTGAAGTTGTTATAAGATAATCGAGGATGAAAGTGAGTAAAGATAACAAATGGAAAGAATAAGGGAATTGTTGAGTTCACAGCCAGCTCCAAGAGTGAAGGAAGCATAACTTGTTGCTTACAAAGATTCATAGTTCTAAACTAAGGTATTGCAAGGATGAAAGACCACAAAGCCAGTTTAAATCTGAGACCCGTGAGCTTTTCGGATATGAAAGTGTAGGCATACTGAGATCAAGGTACTGCAAGTTTGAGAGGTTTCCAAGACTTCATTCCAGTGAATGATGCCTGGGAGAGGTGAGCGTAAAGAGAGAGTGTACCATCAGGATCACCTGTATTTTTATGTGAATGACATGTATTTATTTTTGAAAAATATATGAATTGGCTATATAGTTTCAAGGTGAGCATAAAGAGAGCGTGTACTCGGGAACTTATCGCCCTCACATTTATCTTGGAACTTGCGCCAGTAGCTCTTCTCGCTAAGAATTTCACGATTTGCGGTGTTTAAACGATGTCGTTGTAATTACTAAATTTTTACTTACATTGGAGGGACTCCGTTATCATGTGGATTGGTGTAAAGGATGGAAGATATCATATGTGCTATGTGTGTCAAGACTCTGATGAGCTGAGCAAATATGGCTAGACTCATCATATAGTTCGTGAGTTTGGACATCAGGTGTTGGTTGACCATGACATGACCTTGGAAACAAGTGTATTGAAATCCAAGGGAGATGGCAGTGGCTATGGAGGAGAATAGGCAGTTCGAATTGGTGTGAAAATTGAGGAGTAAGTAGCTGCAGTTTTAGTATTAACGTACAACATGTTTAGTATACTATGTGAAAATGTGAAATCTAAATGGAATAATGGTATGATGTAGATGTGTGCCACACTCTCCTGTGTTTAGCCCCTGTTGTATGAGGTCTCTGCTAAGTGTTTTGAATTTCTTGGGACTACTTTATTGTTGTGTGTTGCTTTTGGCTGAATAAAAGGGATAGCCTTTCAAAAAGAGAAGCAGACCTGTAAGAAGCAAAAACCTGAAATCCTTCACAGTTTTCTTTGTCAATAGAAATGTAGTGTGATCTAGGGACTTAAGTTTTTCTCTATCAATTTAAGTGCAAGTACCTGGGGTTCTTTTTTTTTTTTTTTTTGTCCCCTTCGAGTCTTTATGATTGATGTTTGAACAATATCAGACTTCTGAAATCAGCTGGAGGTATGTGCAGATAATAACTAGTATTACAATTGTTGATTCTTATGGAAGAACTTCTCAATTTGTGTTTATCAATTTACCTTAGTCTGTAAATGAGATAAAACCCAATGTTTTGATTCTAAAGTTTGAAGTAGGAAACACAATTTTACAGGATACATACAATACGTTGACCCAGTTTTATCAGAGGTTCATCATCCTGCCAACCTCTTAATTATTGTAGCAACCAATGACCCAAGATACTATGGTAAAGTAAAACAGAAAATAGGAATTATAGAAATGAGCCTGAGGAGAACAGCTGATGTGCATGATTTCAGCTTCCTCTTGTACAGCTTTCTTCAACTTGGCATTTCCATTGTACTATCATTTTCAGTCCACTTATGTTCACCACGTTTCTGCCATAACCACACATAAATGATTTAAGATCTAAATGAATTGAAAATAAAAGACTGCAAAAAATTGGAGATCGCGTTTACCTTTCTCACTCTGGACCTCTTTGGACATTCTCTTTATCATTTAAATACAGCTTTTTCCGTAAACGAGCCACGTGAATTGCAATGATCAGTAGGAGCTTATCT